GATGTATAATATTGTTGTGCCACGCGGGGTTCAATCGCAGAATTGACTCGAATTGCCGACTGCCAGGTGCTTTCCCTACCAAAATGGGAGACCGCAACAGCATGGGCATGCTGCCGTTCCTGTTGCGGAGTCAAACAAAGCGACGAATCGATGAGTTGTCACTTTTGACAAGTTCCAGATCGACGAGCACGGTTTCAGACTGGCACAGTGTCCCACGGCACAATGTATCAGAGAAAGGCTGCTGCACATGTTGAGAATGTTAAGGCTGGGAAGCAGATCTCCTGGCCTAAAGGAACCCTCCTGGCCAAAAGCCATTGCACGACAAGCAATGCGACGGCACTGTTTTGGACAGTCTCATGCTACAGTAAGACGCCACGCTGGGCACTCGTGCTACCGAAGGAAAACGAATTTCTTATCGCCCCAGGCCACTATTCATAAGATTTGAAACTTGACCGGTAGATTAAAACCGTGTTCAATGCTTCCGGCAACAAGCAGAGAAGAACAAAAAAAAACAAGCATGCAAACATGGTTCCAGACGTCAAAGATTTTTCCCCCTAGGCTAACCGTGCTCGCCGCTAGTGCCGAAGAGAAAGATAGCTCGCCGCAAGCTTCTTCAAAGCTTCGCAAACGGGCCAGGAGCAGAACTCTTCTTGCGGAAGTCGGCCAGCACCACGTCAATCAGTGTTTGGCCGGGGAACACCTGGCATTCCAGTCACAGACACCGGGCGATGATTTCTCTGATGATGGGAGCCCGGCCTTTGTGCCTTCCTTGGCCGCACAGGCCTCTAACAGCTTGGAGGGCTCGAAATAATCAATCGGCAAGTAGTTGGAGTTCTTGGTGAAGCGCTCCTCACAAACGAGTGCGAGTTGTGCACTGGGGTTGAACTCACGATCTTTGTCAGCCGTTTCACAGCTGCAGCAATGGCGGCAGCAGCAGAAGCAGCAGCAGCGGCAGCAGCGGCAGCAGCAGCAGCAGAGAGCAATCAAGTGGCGGTAGCCGCCGCAAGAGCAGCAGCACCGATGCCAACCGAGACCAACTAACACTACCTGTCAGTACCTCCTGCTAGCAAGCCGGTTGCTTGCTCATTTGAACATCCAGGGCCGAAGGACAACCTACATCCCATGGGCACATGCGGCACCGCTCACCTTGGCCTTTTCGTTGTAGTACTTCACGCGCTCCAGGATCTTCTTGAACCCGGCATAGTTCTCGGCGTAGAACATGGGGCCGCCCTGTCAAAGCTGGTCTTGGCGCACGGCTTCACAGAGGCACACGACAGGCGGGTCTTTGAACCCAGACTCAAATCCTGCACCAGCTGGGAAGCGGGTCTTACCGAATGTCCTGATGCACAGATCTGCGCACAGCCCAGCCCAAGACATCGAAACTGAAAAGCTTTTGCTCCCACAGATTTATTTATATTATGTTGATTTCTTGAATATTCTAAGATAAATAAAAGATATTTCTTGTTATTATATTGATTTCAAAATAATATTTAAAAATTGAAAAATATGATTTAGTTGCTATTATTTTGATTTCGTAATGATGTATTAAAGCTAAGCAGAATGATTTTTTATTATTACTTTGGTCTTGGGTTGATGCCTCGTTAAAAAATCTAATATAGTCTTATTATTAGTATTATTATTATTTCGTGTCGGAATGATGCCATAATGCTAAGAGAAATGATTTTACTATTATTATTCTGGTCTCGATATGATGCCTTAGTGCTAAGTAGTACGTGCAGGTGCATAATATTCCGGCCTTGGCGGGGGGGAAACCGTAGCCGTAGATGTAGGCCAGGTCGATGTCCGAGGATCGGGCCACAAACCCTTCCTGTCCGATGCGCTGACGCGAAGGCACGGATCGCTGACTTGACGACACAACTGACACAACGTCTCCTCGAGGATCTTGAAGCCCTCGTTGATCATGGAGAAGAAGAGCCTCTCGCAAATCTCCTCGACAGCATCGGCTGCATGCCAATCATCTGCTGAGAGCGTGCGCGTGCTTCCGACAGGGGAACTGGAAGCTGCAAAGGCCTCAAGCTGGTGAGGAGCACCGGCACTTCAAACCTGTCCTCGTCGGAAACGGCCCGAGGTGTCATGCCCTTCGCCTTGCGAACCTCATCCAGCTTTGCCACGACCTCGGGATCCACCTGGGCCCACGAGCTGCCGGAATTTCGAGCTTTGGGCTAGTATGGGCCACTGCCGCACCTCCTTGCTGCGACCACGGTGGATGAAGACGCCGCGGCCATTGGCCTGGCGGCAATCTCCCTCCAAACCGCATACACAAGCTTCCGACGCCGTGGCTTCTCTCTCCGCAAGACTTGGCACCTGAACCTCCTCCACCTGTTTCCATCTGCCTGCCTTGATCTTCGGGTCGGGGGTCTTCAAGCCAAAGCGGCCCTGCTCGCAGAGCCAGTCCTTTCCAGGACCAAGCTGTGCAAAAACAACTTGCTTCCGCTGCGTGAGGATACATCCTGCAAACGCAAGCTCCCAACCTGACGCCATTTCCCAATGTGCAATGGTTGCATTGCCCGAGGGTAAAGAGTGAAGGCCCGGAGGCCCATCAAGAAGACTATCCAGCAGAAATTCTCAAACAGAGAAATCTCCAAAGACCACCCACCATGAACACAGCGAATGTACCAGCACAATCATGTACCATAAAAACGACCACGACGTCCCACCACAGGACCGCCAGGACCGACCAGGAGTCCACACAGGCGACCCCGAGAAGCCCTACAGGCCCTATATGGCGCTATAATTGAGGCACCTGATGAGCACAGAGCACCGTAATCACGATTTGTGGAGGTGGCAGCAAGACTCAGAGTCCAAATGCGCACGGCAATGTTTCGCGGAAGAGTAAGGGACGGTGGCAGGAAGAGGGTGCAGAAGCAGCACCGAGAAGCATCAGAGTGGCCCTAAAAAACAAGTAGGAACTTACTTGAAGCGTTTCAAAGGCACCATGCCGAAAATCATTCCCTGCCTTAGCCTTGTCTGGCGGGATTTGCAGGACCACTCGAACGAAGCCGAGAGGCCGAAAGTGTGTGGCCATTTCGAGCGTTTCGACGGCAAATTGGATGGCAACCGGCTGGCATTTACGCAGAACCGCGCGTTCCCGAAGGACAGGCCCGAGCGGGACGGTGGAAATCATCGGACTTTAGTCCAAAACGCCACAAAGCCGCTGACGGGTCATGCAGGGTTGGTGGAGAGAGATAGAATGCAAAGGTTCGAAGCGACAGTAGGTTATCGCTGTAGGTGCAATGCTCGTCGTGGCCTTATTATGCCTTATTTTCGCCAGCACTGTTTGCAGTAGGATCCGACTCTTGCTTGCCACACGGACGCACTCGTCCATCATATGGCTGGCCGGTGGCGGTAAGGGTGCTCGGGTGGCATGCTCTTCCGAACGTGTCACAACAGACTGAACTCGCAGATGGTCCGTCAGCTCGTACGGACCATAGTAGGTCTTGGTCTGCTTCTTCATGTCACCGGCCGCCTGACATGACCAAAACTTAGCAAAGCTTACCGAAGACCCATGCGCGACGGCCTGGCCTTCCGCTGCTTCCAGAAAAGCTCCAAGCCCACCAAGTCGCCCAACGCCATCGGACCCATGGCCATGCCTTCCAGCAGGCTCAGGGACACGGGGTGTAGGCTCCTTGCTCTGCCTGCACTCTGTTTTTTCTGCTGCCGGGCTGCCGAACTTCTGCGCTGCGGCATCGACCTGCTCGATGCTCGCACCTTGGGCAGTCAATCCCGCAGCAGCAACAAGAAAACAGGAGGACCGCGTCTTCTGCGAGCAGATGTCCTGCCTTCCTCCAGGACCATCTTCGCCTCCCCCGCATACGGCGCAAGCATCCGGTTGCCGACGAAGCCATCACAGTTGCCCGCCATGATCGCCTTCTTGCTGATCAGCTTGCCCATGGCCTAAGCTCCAGGGTCGCAAGTGCAGGATGATGCCGAGACATAGGGAGGCAGCGTCGGAGTGCGAGTGA